TGTATCAATAGATGCACTACTAATATATGGCCGCAATTGGCCGCCGCGTGAAGTGGGGTCTCGTTGTCGTTGTCTTCAAACGGGAAGTTAGGGTCAAAGCCTTGTGCTATAGAATAGACATCATTTCGATTAGAAAATGCAATTATACTCACTATTTATAACAGTTTTCAATATTGTTTGTCATATTCATTAGAATAGATATGAATGCATCGGTAAGTAACGTACTGTCAAGTGCAATCGGTATGTCAGCTAAATTAGCGTAAATAGTATAATATGAGAATTGCAATTTTATATTCAAGTAACCTTTCCATTAATTGACATCAATATACAAATTAATCATTTCTATACAATTAATGTGTGAATCATTGCATTTAGATATTAATATAGATTTTTGTAAAAGGCTACTAAAATTTCAAAATGGCATTTATAAAATTGCAATTCTCATATATACGGTACCGTAGTACAGTAGAATATATTACGGTATAGTTAAACAGGATTACCATACTATATTCAAATACTAGTTATAGCAGACTCCTCAAAGTTTGACTCATTGGAGTCAAACTTTCACACATTTTTAATATCCTTCAAATGTTTGGCTCACAAATATAGACACATTAGTGTGAGTGAGATATAAAATATTAACTGCAAATTATAACTGTAATTTTTAAATAAAGCAATTATTTTCGTATTTTTTATGTCTAAAATATTGGTTAACACATAGAAATGTATATGATTAGTTTCTATTACCGTAGTTAAGTTTGTGAATATTTTTAAAGCTATAATTCTCTACTAAAAATCAATATAGAAATGTCTAGAAATTTCACATTTACAGGTACTTTGAATATAGTAATTATAGTAATGATATTTGTGTTGTAAAGAGCTTTATCCACTAATAATCTCTAAGAAATAAATAAAATTGGTTGTGCATATTAAAAAAAGGTTTGAGGTGTGAGTTATAGTATGATTCATATGGTTTGAGTGAAGTGTTGATAATACCTAAAATGCTCAACACTTTGTCCACTTCACCACTTTTGGCGACGGCATAGAAGTTCTTATTGTGTTGTATAGTGAGTCGAATCGACTGCTTATCTGCCGATAAGTTGACCAAAAGTTCTTCCAATTGTTTGCGTTGCGGACCAAATGGCAGACCGGCTGTGAATAAAAGCATTAGAAACATGTCATTCACATAACAGTGTAATGTTGTACTCAAACCTAGTGAAAGTATCTTTTGTGTGGCAGGAATGGTATATTCAATACCCGGTTCTTCATATTCTTCGCTAATAGTCGGTGTCTTTTGTCTGCCCTTCCTTTTAGTCATAGCTATACGAGCTTTAGGACTGAAAACATGTTTGTCATGAATATAAGCCATGAATGATAAGACAGTGTTTGGCATACGTTTTGAGAATAGATGTCTGCTGTAAGTAATAGGTATTATTAGTGAGCGGACCGTTCATCTCGAGCCGCACCGTCCGCGCCTGTGATACGTTCCCGCAGTGCAAACAGTGCTGTGTTTTGGGGTCCTGTGGGCGCTCGACCTGACATTTCTTATGAAACAAATGGATCTGCTTTTTGACACAAAAGCATTCATTGAACTCTCCCTGAGTGCAGAAGAGGCCACAACCGGGACAGCAGTGGTGGCGTCGGAGTCGCGCCAAATGCACTTCACAGAGGATACGATACGGCACTCGTCTCGACGACCGGAACAGTGACGTGAGGCGCACCTGATTGCAGCACCCGATCAACTGCAACACACATAGACATACAGATCACACCTACACTACACTATTGCCGTTGTCTCACAATCACTTACCTTCTCATCAAAACAGTCGATCGCCTGACAAAACAGAGGTTTTCCTTTTGAGATGTCTTTCTGTGAGCTATCAATCAATGGTTTCGCAGAACACATGCAGTTAGACATCTGTGCCGTTGATTTGTCCTTCTATTGAGATGAATACAACATTTTAATTAATCATTGATTCACTTTTGAGATACAAATGACCACAACTGACCACAAGAACAAACTTCGAGAGTTCAGCGCCGAGTTGTGTTCCGGTGGTATCGCCAGACATGACAGAGCCTGCCGTCGATATTCTAAGCAATGTCTTGCGGTTTGGGTTTTGCACAACACTTGAGGTGACATTATTGGCGGCCAATTGAAACACTTGACGAGTGGTCCCATTAGTGAGACCAGGAGTCGACTCACTCTCCCCTTTATGACCACTCGAGTCCTTATTGGGTGACAATTGTCTCGATTCCTTCGATGCATTCGACTTCGAGTTAGTGCTCGACGGCGGCGACTGATAGTCCTCTTCTGAGAGGCCATCGACTCGACGGCGACCCCTTCCTGGCCTCCTCTTCACATGATCGCCAACATTGCAAGGGTTGGCCTCTTTTGGTGGCATTGTATGCGATTGTGATCCTATATTGTCGGACGCATCCTCGGGAATGCCATTCTTCGAGACATCCTCATTGATAAGCACCGGCTGTTCACCACTGCCTTCCACTGCGTCCACAAACTCTTCGTGCAGATCGTCGTTGCTTTCGTTTATCTCATTAGCAATGTCTTCGACATCGCGTTCGTCGTCAGCGTTCGACATATCAGAGGACTCGCCGTCGAGTTCGCCGTCGGATTCAGAGTTGGCCGCAAAGGACTGCGAACTCTCCTCGCCTTCAGCGCCGACACCACTCGACTTAACACTCGAATCAATCTTTTCGTTGGCCTTCTTCTGTTCCTTCAATTTCCTCCTCTTTTTGGACAAAAAGAGGCCATAAGTGCCGCCCTTATAGTACCTCTTCTTGCGTTTGGATGGCGTTCCGGGAGTCGAATGAGTGGACGACTCGTCTTGAGATAAGTTGGGTTCCGATGGAGTAGTGGTCGAAGTCTTGTCGGCGACGGCACTAGTATTGGGCGGTAAAGGCATTGCAAATGTTTTGCGCGCCCTATCGGTGCTCGCATTCAATTGGTTCATATCGTTAGAAGACTTCTTCGAATGAACTCTTGTCTGAACGACAGGTGCATCGATGGCCTGTTGTCCCGACTCGGATCGGGTGCGAGTGTGGGTGCGAACCGTCTTTAACAAAGACTTTTGTTTGTCGTGTTGT